GTCAATTGATGCAGTAAACTTCATTTTTGTCTTATTTTCAGAAATTCCCACAGCCACCCCAGCCTTCAGCAAGTACCAACTTGACCAGTCAGCAGCCATCAACATCAAGACAAGACTTTTCATGGTCAAAGACATTAGGACTTGCTGAAGGCTCAGATGATCATTAGCATCTTTTTAGCCATAAAGTATTTTAAAATAAAGGTGTGTGTGTGTATATAGATATATATTTTTTTTTCAAGTCGAAATCTCACTCTGTTGCCCAGGCTGGAATGCAGTGGTGCAATCCTGGCTCACTGCAACCTCTATTTCCCAGGTTCAAGTGATTCTCCTGCCTCAGCCTCCTGAGTAGCTGGGATTAAAGGTGCGTGCCACTACACCTGGTTAATTTTTGTATTTTTAGTAGAGACAGGGTTTCATCATGTTGGTCAAGCTGGACTTGAACAACTATCCTCGTGATCCACTCGCCTTGGCCTCCCAAAGTGCTGGGATTATAGGCGTGAGCCACTGTGCCCGGCCAAGATATGTGCCTTTTTAGATACAATATTATTGTATACTTAATAGACTATAGTATAAGCTCTATTTTTACATGTATTGGGAAACCAAAACATTTGTGTGACTTACTTCATTGCTATATTCACTTTATTATGGTGGTCTGGAACCAGACTGGTGATACCTCTGACGTATGTCTTTATTATATCATCTTCTGTTTTTAAGAGAATTTGTGTCTAGCTACATTTAATTGGGGCATATTGCTATTCAAGAATTCCCACCATCAAATTTTCAACTTTCTTCTAGATCTTTCACTTTGGAGATAGCGTGATTGTATCAACAATAGCTGTGAAAATAGGATTAAAGAGATTGCTAACTTTCCTTCTGGAGTTTTCATGCCTTTCTTTAAATCCCATTAGCTTATTTGGTATTGGTTGTAGTGGGAAGTGAAGTTTTTTTTATTAACAAGAGGATTCTTATCTTGTTCAGTTTATACAGATTCTAAACATCATCAGAAATATTATGTCTATGCTGGATTTTTAAAAAGTCAAGGAAACAGACTGGAAGGCAGTATTTTTAAGCTACTTTTTGATACCTTTGTTCAACTAAAAGAAAGCACAAATGTACAAGTAAGTAGATTTCTATATAGACTTTAAGTCATTTGTTCAAAATAGCATAACATGCATATTATCTTATTTATAAAGTTTTTTGATATCATTTATTTAAAATTGGTTTTAGACTGGGCATAGTGGCCTATGTCTGTAATCTCAACAGTTTGGGAGGCCAAGGCGGGAGGATGGCTTGAGGCTAGGATTTCAAGACCAGCCTGGGCAAAACAGTGAGACTCTGTCTCTATCAAAATAAATAAATAATAAAATTGATTTTAATTATTCAATATAATTTACACTTCTTTCTGAACGAATATTTGCATTAAAATAGTATGCTATGCAATTATTTATACCTCAGTCCGTTAAAGAAAACAATATTGGACAGCCCATGTAAAAAAACAGAACTGTAACACAGAAAATTAAGAGTGGCATTAACATGAAAATAAACTTGATGATAAGAGTTGTTAAAGATAGTGACTAATAAAATATTTTTAGTTGCTGTGGACAATATGCTTGTCCAAGCAAGCATAGAATTCTGTTAAGATAACTTCTCCTCAGTTATACCAAAGCATATACAGGATTTCACTCTGTGTTAACCTCTCCCAAATGTTCATATTCAAAGTATATGCTAAGAATCAATCTCAAGTCTTAAAAACATAGTAAACCCCATCTCTACAAATAATTTAAAAGTTGCCCTGGCATAGTGCTGCACAACTGTGGTCCCAGCTACCCAGGAGGCTGAGGCAGGAGGATCACCTGAGCCCAGAGGTCCAGGCTGTAGTTTGCTGTGGTCGCACCACTGCACTCCAGCCTGGGTGACAGAGCGAGACCTTGCTTTAAAAAAACACACCAAAAATCCACATTGATATCAACAGCCAATCCTGCTACTGATCAAATAATAAAGCAGTGTAATTTGGTCCTACCTAGAAACGAAATATAGGCCAGGCCTGGTGGCTCATGCCTGTAATGCCAGCACTTTGGGAGGCTAAGGCGGGAAGATTGCTTGAGCCCAGCAATTTGAGACCAGCCTAGTCAATATGGTAAGACCTCCATCTCTACAAAATATTTTAAAAAATAGCCAGAAGTGGTGGCTGCCTGTGGTCCCAGCTTCTCTAGAGGCTGAGGCGGGAGGATCGGTTGAGCCTGGGAGGTGGTGGTTGCAGTGAGCTGTGATCATACCACTGCACTCTAGCCTTGGCTACAGAGCAACATCCTGTCTCAAGAAAGAAAGGAAAGAAAAGAAATATAAACAACCAGCCAGAAAAATGTAAACAAATTTAGCAAAAATTTTTAAATGGTGAGTTCCTTGAATAAAACCAGTCACTATCTTAGCAGGTGGGAAGGTTTTATTTTCATTGACAATAGATGGACACGTTATAGGACTGCTGTACCTCTGTGATGTTTTGATGACCTCCAGAAAGGGGTTCTCTATATCACACCATCAGGAATTTCTATCCTGACAATAAATCATCCTTATCTATCTGGATGGTTTATAATAATTCAGCTGAATCCAAGCAACTCTAAATGCAAACAAACAACTTTGTTTGTTTGCATTTAGAGTTGCTTGGATTCAAGTGAATTATAAAAGTAAAATGCCTAGTAACCACCAATGTTATAAACCCTTTTGCTCATGATGGATCATTGGTAAAGTTATAAAAATCAACAATGTGGCTATTTCGTTTTAATCTGCAGCTGTCCTAATAAAAGGCATTTACTACAACAGCTTTTCAAAAATTTTGAAAGAAGTGTACTAATGTGTTCCTGCTTATTTATATTTCCATAAAATTTGAATAACAGTGCAGTTTAAAACAGGCGTCAGCTTCTCTGAACAGAATCCTCTGTTGTCAGCACTATGCACCTATGCATTTACATTTAAGTAGCCAAGATGAGGCTTCCCGCCTGTTTCAACCTGTTTTATCAATGTATCCTTTTCCTTATTTAAACTCAGCCCCTGAAAACAGTGTTTCTGCTTTCATAAACTTAAACTAAATATAATCAACAAACATAAAAATAATTTTAGAAGTGAAGATAAGCCGATGTAAATTTTAGTAGTGAAGATAGGCTGATGTAAATTCACTTTATTTGGGTTTCAATCCAGCTTTCTTCTTTATTTCATATATTTTAACATCAATATTCACTTCTCTGAAGGGCAAGTGGAACCAGAAGTGCACTTAACTCTTTCTGTGCTACAGGCATTTGATATCTCTATTACTAATACCTAGAATCTTCAAGGATAAACAAACACCACTGGGATGGACCGGGGATGCACTGCAATAATTGAAGCATTTTTGTGAATAGCAGGGAGATGGAACTCTCATCTGCTGAGTCCCGTTCTCATTTCATCCAATCTGGTGAGCAAGTATCCAGCCAAGAGTGGTACCTGCAGGTGTGCCCGTTATCACAGAAATGCAGCTGTACAAGGCCTCAGCACAACGTTAAAATGGCCTGGAAAGAAGTACATTCCTTTGTTAACTGTGCTTCAAATGTTTTCCTCCCGCTACTGAGGTCTTTTACTTCTTTCTTTTTCTCTTTGTCTCTAATATCTTTGTCTTTGTCTTTTTCTTTTTCTTTTTTTTCTTTTTTGAGAGGGAGTTTCACTCTGTTGCCCAGGCTGGAGTGCAGTGGCGTGATCTCAGCTTACCGCAACCTCCACCTCCCAGGTTCAAGCAATTCTCCTGCCTCAGCCTCCTGAGTAGCTGGGATTACAGGTGGGCACCACCATGCCCGGCCAATTTTTGTATTTTTAGTAGAGACGGGGTTTCACCATGTTGGCCAGGCTGGCCTTGAATTCCGGACCTTAAGTGATCTGCCCGCTCCCGTCTCCCAAAGTGCTGGGATTATAGGCGTGAGCCACTATGCCCAGCTAATAACTTTTTCTTAACTGACTAGAGCACAGAACACAAATCGTGTGTGTTTGCACTTACAAATTTCTATGATCATTGTTCTTGATTTTAAAACTTCATTAGCAAAGGTTTATATATCTCTTTTCAGTAAGAATATGAAATTATGTTTCTACAATGCCCAGTCTTGCTTAAAAAGCAAGTTTTCATTCTCGGTTTATGGTAGTCCACAATAAACCAAAAAGATCATTTTGGATGCTATCGTTGTTAATCCTGCTAAATTATTCAATTTCTTAAGGAAAGCAACAAATTAATATTTATATTGTACCTACTAGCTATTATTTGCATACTAGGGTTTATACACAAGGCATCCTATGAAAGAACATTCCACTCAAAAGTCACAAAAGTATAGTCCTCAGTTACCAGCTACCTTTAATTATAAGCCAAATAAACGATTTAATACAGTCCTCCCAAACCTGGCGACCATGCTTTGAGAAAGGCCAAAGTTAGCCACTAAGGCCGTTAAGTTCCAAGAGGGCAGGATATGCCCAGCTCGTTTCCTGCTCAATCCCAAGCAGTTAGAACACGGCCAGTAAACACTTCTCGCCACTTGGAAAGAGTATTCTTTTATTTTGAAATGGTATCCAGGTACGCGTGAGTAGCAAAGTCAAGAGCGGGAAAGGGGAATGGGGGAGGTTGCAAAATCGGAGCAGTGGGACGGAGAGGGAGATCTGGTGGAGGCAGCCTTCGGAAGGTGAACCCCAAGAGCTGGGATGAAGCAGGGGTGAGCGCCTGGGACACCGCAGCGGGGGAGCAGGCTGGCAGGCAGGAAGTAGCCAAGATTTGGGGGAATCCTTCCCAGGGAACAAATGCGGAGAAGGAGGCATCTGAAAACCCAGCCGCAGCCAACCCTCTCCCACGGGAAAGCCCCGACCTCGGCGGGCCCAGCCCCACACGGCTCCCCGGGGAGTGGAACCCGGAGCGAGGCAGGTGCGGCGGGAGCATGCGCGCGGGGCGGGCAGGGGGCGGCTCCCGCGCCCCCACCCCGCGCGTGCACCCTCGCGCCCCTCCCGCCGGGCACCGCCGGGCAGAGGCGCCGCAGCCTGGGCCGGCCGAACCTCAAGCTCTGACTCGACCCCAGCCTATCGGCCGGTAGGCGTTGCGGGCTGGCGCGGCTCCGCTGGGGGTAAGAAGGACGCCGCCGCCCGCGTGGGATGGTTGTGAGCCCGCGTGGGCGCCCAAGGCCGCCGCCGCACGGGGTGGCCCCGGTCCCGGGCGGGCGGAGTGGCCTGCGCGACTCCCGCAGCGAGGGCCGGGCCGGGCCGCCGGGGGCGGGGGCGGCTGGGATCTCCCCAGCCCGGGCCTCGGCTCTTTCTCTTTCTCTTTCGCCGCCAGGGCGCGTGCCGGGCTCCCCGCGAGAGGCGCTGCCTCACTTGTCGCCCACTTTGGACGGGCGCGGCCGCCGCAGAGCCCCGCGTCTCTGTTCGCCGCGAGGGCAGGGTCGGGGTGCCAGGCGCGGCCACCTGGGCGCCCCAGAGCCAGCGCAGCTCGGGTCCAGGGCTAGGGACGGGGCGGGACTCCCGAGGGCTCCCAGCCAGTCTTTCGGCCACCGAGCTCCGGGCGGTGGGCATTCGGCTTTTGTTTTCTCTGGGGGCTGACGGCCCCCTTCTGCCCCCGTGTCCCCCTCAGCCGACAAGTGTCGTGTGCCCGGACTGGCGAGCGCTGCATCCCTCCACCGGCTTTCTGCCCTGTCTTCCTCTGCGAGTTCTGCCCAGCCTCGGGAGCGGGAGATCAGGGAGTGCGCGCAGAGCGGACAGGCACTTGGCCAGGCTGGGACGGTGGCTCCCAGGCTCCTGCCACCGCCTGGAACTGCGGGAGGCGCACTGGCCACAGTCGCTCTTGCCTGCTCGCTGGGCCTTCTTGGGCTAGCTTGGTCCCAGGTGGACGCGAGCTGAGCTGGGCACACCTGGGCCAGTGCCGCAGTTTCCTGCGGGATTAGTGAGAGGGTTTTTGCGAGGTCGAAAACTCCGGGTGGGTTTTGTCCCCTGCCTTTGATCTCCTTTAGTCACTGGTTAAAGTGCAAAATGTGCTTTATCTTATATAAGCCCTTAGACGGACATTCTTAATGTGCCAGTGCCCCGTGGTGGAACTAAATAAAAGGAAGGCCTGGTCATTGTTACTGTTGAGACTGCTGTACTTAATAGCCAGAGGAAGGCAGCCTGGTCTCCGTGACCCACCTGGCCATTCCCATCCTGAAGACTCCTTTCACTTCAGGCTTGTTTGGACTCCGCTATGACTTGCTAGTGGCCCATCTCCTGGATCCCCTTGTTGGAGCTGTTCTGGAAGATGCTTGCGGCAGACTCCAGTTTCAGTCCTTCGCTGAAATAAGTGTAGTGGGGACTCTTCTGTTTTCTAATCTCTTTCATCTAAAAAGGTTAAAGTGACAAACAGGTGGTGGGGGGGGGGGGTAGAGTTTGTTTTCTGTGCTTGGTAATATTAAAAACTTGGAATGCTTTTAGCTCTTCAGAAGATGCTAAAACTACCGACTTCGGCTCTCCGTTATGATACTACACAATTAGGAGAAAGGGTTGAAAGAGGAAAGGATTTTTTCTTGGAGTATCCAAAGGGATTGGATTCGACTACACTGCTTTCTTGGTGTGTAATGGTTGAGTAGGAAGGAAGATGAACATAACACTGCTGTTCACTATGCTCTTAGATGTGAGGCAACATTGAGGATGTATTGCATGTAACCCTCGATTGTGGAATTGGCACTTTGCTGCACAATATTGGGGTCACAAGAAATACTAAGCTTGGTCAACCTCTGCAGTGTGTTTTCACTCAGTTTCCAAAGAAAGGGTATTGGTGGGAAGGTGATCTGGTGAAGACAGAGGTAAAATTTTTAAATTTTTTAAAAATTTACTTTTAAAATTTTTTATTTTTATTTTTTAGAGACAGGGTCTCACTCTGTCACCCAAGCTGAAGTACAGTGGTACCATCATGGCTTACTACAGCAGTGACCTCCTGGGCTCAAACAATCCCACCTCAGCCTATTGACTGGGAGGATAGCAGTTCACCACTATGCCTGGCTAATTTTCTAATTTTTTTTGTAGAGCTGGAAACTCACTTAACTTTCACTTTAAAGAGAAGTAAGTTTGCATATTGTAAAGTTCAACATAAGAATCTTAGGTGCTCTGTATCATCTACATAACTTCATTGCAGTACCTGTGTGGTTTATACCTTAAATTACACTTCTCATCCCTCTTGGGTGGATATAAGTCACCTGTGGTTGGCGTGGGACTTGACACATTGGTAAGTGCATGCTCAACAAATACTCGTAGGACCGAATCCACATGTGAGCAGACAACTGCTGAGCAGAGGCAGGAGGTGATAACAGCAGCAGCGAGGGAGATCAGGCTGATTGTGAAGGAAGATTTGCAGATGGAAAGCCCTTGAATTTCTCCTATGAAGAACAGGCAGATCTGAAAGCCACCTTTGGGAGGTTGTGTAGGAAGCACCAGCACCCAGTCTGACCAAGGAAGCAGAAGCTTCAACTCCTCCTTCCCCCATCACTCCTTCAAGGGGGTCAAGGTTTCCTTTCTCCAGAGAGCTGAAGGAGAGATTGAAAATCACCATTCGATAAGTGTTCTTCCAATTAATTATTTTAATTAAGAAAAAATGGGCCAGGTGCAGTGGCTTACGCCTGTAATCCCAGCACTTTGGGAGGCCAAGGTGGGCAGATCACCTGAGGTTGGGAGTTCGAGACCAGCCTGACTGACACGGAGAAACTCCGTCTCTACTAAAAATACAAATTAGCTGGGTGTGGTGGCAGGTGCCTGTAATCCCAGCTACTTGGCAGGCTGAGGCAGAATTGTTTGAACCTGGGAGGTGAAGGTTGGGGTGAGCTGAGATCGCGCCATTGCACTCCAGCCTGGGCAACAAGAACGAAACTCTGTCTCAAAAAAAAAAAAAAAGACGAAAAAGAAAGCAAGCAAACAAGCAAGTTGCTGATGAACTGGGAGAGTGAGCAACAGGAGAGGCAGGTTTGGTGGGCGGGAGGCAGGGAGGAAAGGATAAGTTCCGTTTATACAACATTGGATCGAGAAAACCAAATACTCATGTTCTCACTTACAAGTGGAAGCTAAATGATGAGCAGACATGGATACATAGAGGGGAACATCACACTCTGGGGCCTATCAAAGGGTGGGAGGGGGGAGAGGATCAGGAATAATGACTAATGGGTATTAGGCTTAATACCTGGATGAGGAAATAATCTGTACAACAAACCCTGTGACCCAGGTTTACCTATGTAACAAACCTGCTTGTGTACCCTGAACTGAAAATAAAAGTTAAAACAATGCATTTATCAAGTTACTAAAACATTATTTTAGTAAAGCTTATATCATGTATTAATATATTATAGAAAATATACTTTGGTAAAAGCAAAATGGTTTTGCTTTGTGAAAAACTAAACATGTTATTTGGCTCATTCTTATTAGAAAAAAGCAACAGAAAACCATTGAATTGAAGGGGGCCCTGAAATGGCTTTTCATTGGAGAAACACTGATGTCGGGTCAGGGAAAAGCCGGCTAAAAATTACTCAGCGACTATGGGGTGACCCTAAAAACATGTGATAGTGTGAAATAAACTAGCACCCAGACAAAAGAACAGTTCTATGACTAGGGTCCATGCCCAGGAAGGGAGTCAGTGAGAGAAACAGAAGTGGTTCCATTGGGAGGGAAACGAGGTGTCACAGTCACAGGGAAGCCAGTGGAGAAGTAAGGGAGGGAAGGAAGGGAATGGTGTGGTAAGCCTTGTCAGTTGCTAATAAAAAATAGGAGCCGAGAAGATGTGGTTGAACTTGGCTAAAAAAGAGGTGATCTCAGTGGTAACGCATCAGTGCGAGCTCTGGGTAAATGTTTTGCTTTCTGTTTTAGTAATACAGATGTCCTCCTTTCATTCGGTTAGTGTTTTACAGTTTAGAAAACATATCCATCTTGTAACATTGGCAAAAATATTTTGAGGATGGTTTATTATAGGAGCATACCTCCAACTGAAGAAAACTATTTAGGTCCATTTAAAAAAATAAAACAATGCTCTATTTACTACACTGAATAAAACAGCAAGCAGTATAAATATTGGCATCTTACACTTAAGCAAAATAAAGCAGAACGATGAATTAGAAGATGCTTGGAGGAAATGAAGCTCTTCAGTTCACTCATACACATGTAATCTTTTGTTTAAGCATTTGCACGTATTTTTTAAAGGATAGTGCCTTAGGATAATATGTCTGTATTTTATTTTGCAAATAGAAACGATTTTTTCTGCAGTAGCAATGGAAAAGAAGTGAAACCTTAACTCTGAGCCCATTAGAGTTGTCACAGCTCCATTCCCTTGACCTTTGTGTCCCTTTTGGGGATGACATTGAAGCAGTGGGGGGCCCTGCTCAGTGTCGCCTGGTGAACCTTCTTCATTTTGTGTTGATTTGAGCTTATATGGGAAACACTTTCTTAATGAGGCTGGAAGTGATGAGGCAAGCTCTGACAATGCTGATGTATCCCTTCTGAAGATGAATGTGAAATGATAAAAGCATGGTCGCTGCCACAATTCATAATTGATTAATGAATTGTTTGAAAAGTATCAAGTGGGGACCGCAGGAGATGAGCAGCAGTGTATGCATCTCATTTCTTTTCACTGTAGCTAGCCAGAGAGAAATGTGTTTAACTAGACGGACAGATAGACAATACACTTTTATACCCAGTATTTTGATTATGTAAGCTATTCTGATTGCTTTTAAGATGATCATGATATGAGCTCTTTAGATTAAATTGGCATTACCCCAGTCCTTGTTTTATTTTTTTCGGTGAATTAAGGAACTTAGGGGTGAGGCATTTTTGTCGGGTGTCCACTTTGCATCAGCTGTGTACTGTGTGTATGAGGGTAATTATGCAGACATGATGCCTGCCTTCATGGAGCTTGTAGTCAGTAAGGGGACAGATAGCAGCTAATCAGCCAAACACATATAAGTATAGACTTTAAGTAACTCTGAAAAAGACCCACTGAGTGCCTGATGCAGACTTGTGGTCTAGAAAAGGCAACTGAGGATGAGTAGCTGCTAGCCAGGTAGGGAATGGAAGCAAAAGGTAGTTCAGGCAGAGAGAAGCCCCTGAGGCGGTTTTGGGGAAAGAG